GGGACATACATTCCTGTGACTGCCTTGCTGGAGTCACAGACAGATTTCAGACACATCTCCTTTCTTCAGCACTTTCAACCACTAAGTCCCAACAACCCATACAGTGGTTCCACTGTCACAAATCCGGTTTCAAGTTGTCTGTCTTCAGTACATTTTACATGAAACATAACTCACTGCTTGGATTCCAGTCTGAGGTAAGAACCTAAAGGTCAGGTGTGGTAATGTTGAGGCACCTTACTGAGGTTTAGCATTTAGTGTTCTAGTTATTTCTCTGCAGAAGGAGGATGATAGCATATTTATACTCATACTGTCCCTGTAACGAAGGGAAGTATTAAAATTGATAAAGTACTGAAGTACTTTAGCAAAGAAACTGGAAAGTTGAGAGGTCATAAAAAGTTCTTCAGTGAACGAGCATTAACGATTACTTTGCTTTTTCATTTGCAGATGCTTTTTCAGTTCACATAAACATTTAAGACCTCTTCTGAAAATAAGAAAAATAAAACCTTTAACATGCATTTTGCAATCAGGAAACAAGGAGGAACACAGACATAATGAATAACCCATTGTCACAGCGAGTCTGCTGCCACATCTAAAAGCTGGCACTGCAGTCTGGGACATCGACTGGCAGTTGTATGGCACTGTTCAAAAACAACAGGCCATCAGCCACCCAATGGGGAAGTAAGTGCAGCTTGTTGAGAAACAAAAAAATCATTCTGTTCAGTTTTGGCTTGACATATACATCACTTTCTACATTGCTTTATATTACCAGAAAAGTGAATGCACTTGCTTGAAACAATTACGTCTTAATGAAGTTTTAAAAACCTCAAAGCAATAATCAGGAAGCTTCAGATACTCCAGACTATCACTGATTAAATTAACTTTTGCTTACTAGTAAGTATCATCATTTGACTCATGCCTCACTTTTAAAATAATGTTTCTGTTTATTCCTGTGGACAATTTATGTTAGTCTGGCTCTAGAGTTATATACAATGTCACATACAGTAAATCAGTATGTGATATTCCCATGAAAAGCACATAGTTTGCGTTATGCCTACACCTGCAACTCCTGCTGAGATACTATGGCAATTTGTACCAATATGGGAACCTAGATAAACTACATTCATTGTTTCTACCTACTTCAATTTTATAATCCTTGCTTCTGAGGAAACTAAGCAAAAATACTTAAAAAAAACCCAAAAGTATTTGGGTATGTTATAGACAGTGGTGGCAAAACTCTAGATTTCACCTGCTCTTATGTAAACATAGAATGATGTGCACGAATTCACTAAAATACCAGATTTGTGTCTCTTTAAGCAAGGTTGGACTCTGCTGAAAAAAGATGCGTGGAGTCTATTTCTCTTGTGCCTTGAACTTTGTAGGGTTGTGCACACTGCTGTAAAGCGAAGTCACAGTAAAATGTTATCAAACCACTGTGATGATATTCTACACATTTTCCACTTATGTAAATGCCTATAAAAGTACAAGGCAGAGAAAAGTAAAACCTAGACAGTTGTCAGTTTAAATTTCTTTCCCCATATCCTCTAGGCTTCTTGAGCATTACATAGATTTGGCTTTATTACCATATGCTCGTCAAAACCTGAGGCTTCTAGATATCAGCATGACTTCCAGTGCACATTACCTTGCAGTTCCTACTATCGGTCCTGATCAGCCAGTGGAGCAGTAAAGATGAGTCAAGCACAGGCACGCCCTGTCTCCATGTCTCACACCGCCACAAGCCTCTTTACCCTGGTACACATTTTCTGATGGCATCACCGGCAATTCTTCTGTGTTGAAGAAATAAGGAAGAAAAATAAAGCAGCAGAACGCTGTGTTTGTTTCTGGCTTGCAGATCAACCCTAAAGAACTCTCATGCAGAGAGAAGGATCTTGCTTAAAGTGTCAATACAATGAAACATTACTACAAGAATAACGTAAGTACAAGTAGAAACTAAATTAAGATCCTCTGGCACTGTAATTCCAAATTTTCTGAACTGCTTTTCCCATCTGCAACTAATTCCTCCTCCTCAAACAACTCTACCTTGAGTATTAGTGCCACATGCTGGAAATCATGATAATACATTAACTTCAAAAGATTTCATAATACAAAACCGAGGTGCACTGACTTTATGAGGTATAGTTAGTGAAACAGCAGTATTTATATTTATGTTCCTAATGCTAGCATCTATATTTTGTAGTTGTATTGTATTATAACTCATGTAAAAAACTCAAATTTCTTAGTTGCATGATAAAACTATGAAGTTTGCTTATTAAAGAAAAACAGAATCAAACTGTGTGTCAAATTAAATTCCTTGCCCTTGACAGTTATTAAGTCAAATCACATCCCAATCACCTCTTGATATTCTCATAAATATGCTTAAAAAAAACACCCAACTGGTTGCCCCTTACTGTTGTATTTTAATATTTTTCCTAATGTTTTCATTCAGGATGAGACTTAAATGGGGACTGCTGGTCACCAGCCTAACATTAACTGCAGCATCCTGGGAGCTGTAGTCCAAACACACACATCTAGGCTGCTTTTCTTCTTCACTAGCATAAAGCTTGTAGGCTTTTGTAACTATCTGTTCTAATCACAACAACTTTAAAAACTTTCTGAATAAAAGTACTGGGTACACCAAATGTAAATTTTATCTCTCTTCTTATCTCACTGATTAAATTCAGTGTAAATAAGGAGATATGATTGAAACTTAAGTCACAAATTAGAAAAAAAAAAAGCTTTGTAGGAAGTTCTGAACTCCCTATCAAAATAAGACAAAGTGAGACTCCGCACTAATTTTTGTCTTACGGTGAAAATATAAGAAACACTTTTTAACTACTTACAGTCCGATAATTAATTGGTATTAAGAGCAATCATTATGTCATGTAACACTTTATAGGTAAAGGTAATAAATAAAACGTTATTCTATTATGCTGACTAAACCTAATGACTTGGAGATCCTTACTACAGTATTACAGAAACAAGCTATACATCTTATGTGAACTTGAGAAGAACACTCATGATTATACTAGGCCACGCACAAAACTCCCCCACCAAACCAGCCCCTCACCCCTCAAAAAAAACCCCCTCATATAGGAACTCAAAAAGGTGCATACCAGGAATCCTTGCACTTTAAGCCAAATACTCTATTCTCCGGTTAGAATTTTAGTTTTCTCTGATGCTAACCTCTGGTTATGCCTAAGGTCTCTTTCTTTTGTTTCCTTTAACTCCTACAACTTTATAGTTTCCCCTCTCTGGTTGCTCTGGCTGAATACCAAGTTTGGCTGAGAACTCTGACGCCAAAGAAGGCGATCTGAAATCCTAATTACAAGTTGAACTGCTCAACAGGCAGCTGAGCTGGCAAATCAGAACTGCCCAACTATCCAGCTAGCCTCGGGGATCGAGGTCTGAGGCGCTAAGGGCTGCCCCAAGCGAGAAACCAACACCGCAAGTTTGGGATATCAAAATACACTTTAAACACGCTTTATTCTCAATGGAAGAGCCCAGAGGAGCAGTGACTGTAGCAGGGGAAGGACTCAGCTGCAGTAACTGCCGCTCCTTTCCACAGCGGCCCCTCTGCCCCAGAGGCTCTCCCCTCACCCCGCTCCTCCCCATCCCCTCACGCGCCAGCAAGCCCACCCGGCGAGCCCTCAGCGCTCCCCAGCTACCTTCCCCCGCTCCGCCGAACCCAGCAGACCACCCCTCAACGCACCCCTCCTCATCTGCCCTCCCAGGCCTCACCGGCCCGCTCCTCACACCGGCCCCGCTCCTCACACCTCCCCGCCTCGCCACCCTCCTCACACCGCCGCTCCCGCACGCTACACCTACGCTTGCTTGCTTGCCTGCTTCCCCGCCCTCCGCTTCCTGCCTGGTGATTGGCTGCCCGCGACATGGCCCC